TGCTTTCCCCATAAATCAGAGTAATTAAGTCTTAACTAAACATCATTAAATCAGAGTAATTCACAAGTTGCGGAAACATGTGGTATGTGCTCTGCAATCATCCCGAGCCCTTCCGATTGACACCAGAATACATGAAACATAAACTGAAAATTGTAAACACAAAGCTTAGCGAGTTCCCGAAAATACCACACAACATACAACCAAAGATTATCATGCAACATACATATAGTTTCCATGGGCTCCCCCATGGTCTTAATCTGATATGCCATGGGCTCCCCCCATAGTCTTTACTTGGAATGCCATGGGCTCCCCCCATGGTCTGATATCCAAATGCCACGGGCTCCTCCCGGGATCTTCCATGCAAGTATCACAGAGACAACTAGCATACCACATAACACGGAAACAACTAATATACCACATAACACATAATGGACCGGCATTGGTGCCTTCGACCCATGGATATAGTGAGAAGACTCACCTCGCACTGTTGAATCATACAGAATCACCCTTGGCTGTTGGTCGGCTGATCCTTGAACTAACAGTAACAAAACAACACCCAATTAACAATTGAGTTCCAAACCATAACCACAACTCCATGTCTGGGGTAAAAGGACCATTTTACCCCTAACATAGCATTCTCCATATTTATGATCCAACAACAATCCGAAAGACCCAAAGGCCCAAAAATCAATCGTTGGCCCAATTTTCCAAATTGGGCCCAAACCACATACATGACCTTGCCTTAAGGCCCAAACATTCTATCTAGTCCAACAATTTGTATTCTGATGGCCTATTAATAACTCAAACTCTCAAGCCCAAAACCAAAGGATCCACAAAGGCCCATTAATGGCCCAAGTTTCCAAATTGGGCCCAATCCCATATTGGTCTTATCCTAAGCCCATAATTTTCTTAATTACACTTCTGATTACCTCAAGTACCTCCTTAGAACAACTTGGTCAAAGACAGGGTCAAAAGTCAAGGTCAACGGCCTGAGTTGACCCAACTCGCCGAGTTCCTCAATCAATCTGCAAGGTCAAAGAAAACCGAGCCAACTCGCCGAGTTTATCCAGAAACTCGCCGAGTTCGCTAGAAACCCCCATCTTAATACATTAAGCACTTAATCCATAAGGACATGGCCCCAAAACATAGATCTGACTTCCTTGAGCTGGAGACCCACGTAAAGTTTCCAACTTTACGTTCATGCATGTCTAAATGAAGCTCTTAAGCTTATAACGGGCTTAATAATTGACTTAATGCATGCATAACACCCAAAATACTCATAAAGTTTGCACCTTTAAGCTCAAGGGTACCAAAACCAACTCAGATCTGAAAGAACAGCCCCTTAAATGACTTCACCCCATCATCATCCCCAAAAAGAGGCCAAAACACAACAAAACCCAAATTAAGGAGATCTAATCATCTACAAATCAAGTTATGAACTTGATACCTTAAAGTGACTGCAAGAAATGGAGTGATTCTGGATCCTTGACTTCCTTCTCCAAGCTAGAAACTTCAAGATCTTCTAATTCCTTCACAATGCATAAATGAACACCAAACTTCATTCCAATGCTCAAAAACTTGAAATTGGAGGCTACAATTCGTATTAGGGTTTTGATAACAATGGAGGTTGATAAGGAGGCCAGAAAAAGAACGTAAGGACTTTAAATAAGGTGCAATACCCAACAAATTAGGGTTTCCTTCCTAGCTGCCAACTCGCCGAGTTGAGGCATCCCAACTCGTCGAGTTCGTTCGTTAAACCCTCGCGATTCCTCTGTCTTCAACACGTCGAGTTGGTCCCTCCAACTCGTTGATTTCACCTAGAATTAGGATTATTCTCAACAGTTTCTCTTCAAGATTTTGGATGTTACAGCTTAGTAGTGGGTTATGTTTAGATTTAAATAATTGTTGCTACTAGTCATAAATGACAAGAAATATTATTTCATTTCGTGGTTTATATAGATAAGGTTTTAGACATTCTTTTGATAATGAGAATGGTTCTATTTATTCTTATTATAATGGTGTGTTTTATTTTGAAGCATTACCTTGTGATGGCATGTATGAAACTGTGATGGTTGTAGACAATTTAGGAAATAGTATGTTGCAAATTGATTCGTCTAATGGTTTGGACAAAGCATTCTTGTGGCATTGTTCTCTTGGACATGTCAACAAAAAATGCATGGTACAACTCCAAAAGGATGGAGTGTTGGAATCATTTGACTTAAGGTCAGATGATACATGCAAGTCTTGTTTGCTTAGAAAGATGACTAAATCACCTTTCATGGGTTTGTTTGAGAGAGGTCATGGATTATTGGATCTCATACACACGGATGTGTGTGGGTCCTTCATATCCACCACAAGGGATGCAAATCTATTTTATATAACATTTACCGATGATTATAACAGATATGGATATATCTACTTAATCAAGCATAAGTCAGAAACCTTTGAAAAGTTCAAAGAATTCAAACATGAAGTTGAAAATCAATTAGGCAGGAAGATCAAGATGCTCAGATCTGATGGAGGTGGTGAGTATCTTAGTATCGAGTTCCACGACTACATCAAGGAATGTGGAATTGTTTCATAATTAACACCTCCTAGGACACCACAACTTAATGGTATGGTTGAGAGGCGTAATCGAACCTTGTTGGACATGGTTCGTTCCATGATGAGTCAAGCTTCACTAGCAATGTCATTCTGGGGTTATGCCTTCGAGACTGCCGCCCATAATCTTAATCTAGTCTCAACAAATAAGGTTTCCAAAACACCTCACGAGATGTGGACAGGGAAGGTTCCCTCGCTGTCACATATCAAGGTTTGGGGTTATGAAGATTTCGTTAGACGAGAGACTCATGACAAGCTTGAACCTTAAAGTGAGCGATGTATTTTCATCGGCTACCCACAAAAGTCCTTTGGATACTTGTTCTATAGACCAATTACGAATGTGGTCTTTGTAGCAAGAAGAGGAGTCTTTCGAGACAAAGAGAGAGATATCTCATATGCAAAGAGGACAGTGGCAGTGCAATTGATCTTGAAGAAATTCAAGAGCCAAACGATAAAGGAACCTCTAACACTAGCACTCAACCCAAGGAAGAAATTCCTGTTGAACCAATTGACGAGTCGTTACCTCTTAGACATTCCAATATAGTTAGAATGAGACCAGAGTTTTATAGGTTCCATATAACTATGGATGATGATACATTTATCAGTGATAGTACACTGGTAAATTTGGATGAACCTTCTAACAACAAGGAAGCCATGGCGGTCCCTAGGTCTGCTAAATGGAAAGAGGCAATGGACAACAAGATCGATTCCATGTATGACAATCAAGTTTGGAAATTGGTTGACAATGTACCAAGTCGAAAGACAGTTGGGTGCAAATGGATCTTCAAGAAGAAGACTGACATGGAAGGAAAGGTGCACACCTTCAAGGCTCGACTGGTTGCAAAGGGCTTTATTCAAACCCTAAGCGTTGACTATGATGAGACCTTCTCACCGGTGGCCAAGAGTAAATCTATTAGGGTTATGTTAGCCATAGATTAAATCAAAACCGACTTCCTTAATGGGAAGTTGGCTGAGGATGTTTACATGAGTCAGCCAGAGGGTTTTGTAAGTCCCTGAACTTGGATCTATCAATGTATCAATACAATTGTTTGATTTAATGCAAAATCTTAATCAAGACAATGATACGAAACAATCAATTCAATTTATCAATTACACGTTTCAAATGAATGCACACAAATCTATTGAATAATTGTCAAGTACATTCAATCACCCTTCATCCGTGAATCATTCGTGTTCACCAAAAACGCATTAGCCTTAAAAGACTATACACAGACTATATATATATATATATATATATATATATATATATATATATATATATATATATA